AATCCCTTCATAAATGTTACCTTGCTCACACTCCAACAGCACGTCAAGTATTAAAAACCATTTGTCTCCATTCACTCCTATCAAACACGCTCACGCATGCCTGCTGGAAGTCCAAGCCCCTCGCACACAAAACCTCCTTTACCCCCTCCCTCCAACCCTTCCTAGGCCGACCCCTACCCCGCCTTCCTTCCACTACAGACTGATACACTCTTGAAGTCATTCTGTTTCGCTCCATTCTCTCTACATGTCCGAACCACCTCAACAACCCTTCCTCAGCCCTCTGGACAACAGTTTTGGTAATCCCGCACCTCCTCCTAACTTCCAAACTACGAATTCTCTGCATTATATTCACACCACACATTGCCCTCAGACATGACATCTCCACTGCCTCCAGCCTTCTCCTCGCTGCAACATTCATCACCCACGCTTCACACCCATATAAGAGCGTTGGTAAAACTATACTCTCATACATTCCCCTCTTTGCCTCCAAGGACAAAGTTCTTTGTCTCCACAGACTCCTAAGTGCACCACTCACTCTTTTTCCCTCATCAATTCTATGATTCACCTCATCTTTCATAGACCCATCCGCTGACACGTCCACTCCCAAATATCTGAATACGTTCACCTCCTCCATACTCTCTCCCTCCAATCTGATATTCAATCTTTCATCACCTAATCTTTTTGTTATCCTCATAACCTTACTCTTTCCTGTATTCACCTTTAATTTTCTTCTTTTGCACACCCTACCAAATTCATCCACCAATCTCTGCAACTTCTCTTCAGAATCTCCCAAGAGCACAGTGTCATCAGCAAAGAGCAGCTGTGACAACTCCCACTTTGTGTGTGATTCTTTATCTTTTAACTCCACGCCTCTTGCCAAGACCCTCGCATTTACTTCTCTTACAACCCCATCTATAAATATATTAAACAACCACGGTGACATCACACATCCCTGTCTAAGGCCTACTTTTACTGGAAAAAATTTCCCTCTTTCCTACATACTCTAACTTGAGCCTCACTATCCTCGTAAAAACTCTTCACTGCTTTCAGTAACCTACCTCCTACACCATACACTTGCAACATCTGCCACATTGCCCCCCTATCCACCCTGTCATACGCCTTTTCCAAATCCATAAATGCCACAAAGACCTCTTTAGCCTTATCTAAATACTGTTCACTTATATGTTTCACTGTAAACACCTGGTCCACACACCCCCTACCTTTCCTAAAGCCTCCTTGTTCATCTGCTATCCTATTCTCCGTCTTACTCTTAATTCTTTCAATTATAACTCTACCATACACTTTACCAGGTACACTCAACAGACTTATCCCCCTATAATTTTTGCACTCTCTTTTATCCCCTTTGCCTTTATACAAAGGAACTATGCATGCTCTCTGCCAATCCCTAGGTACCTTACCCTCTTCCATACATTTATTAAATAATTGCACCAACCACTCCAAAACTATATCCCCACCTGCTTTTAACATTTCTATCTTTATCCCATCAATCCCGGCTGCCTTACCCCCTTTCATTTTACCTACTGCCTCACGAACTTCCCCACACTCACAACTGGCTCTTCCTCACTCCTACAAGATGTTATTCCTCCTTGCCCTATACACGAAATCACAGCTTCCCTATCTTCATCAACATTTAACAATTCCTCAAAATATTCCTTCCATCTTCCCAATACCTCTAACTCTCCATTTAATAACTCTCCTCTCCTATTTTTAACTGACAAATCCATTTGTTCTCTAGGCTTTCTTAACTTGTTAATCTCACTCCAAAACTTTTTCTTATTTTCAACAAAATTTGTTGATAACATCTCACCCACTCTCTCATTTGCTCTCTTTTTACATTGCTTCACCACTCTCTTAACTTCTCTCTTTTTCTCCATATACTCTTCCCTCCTTGCATCACTTCTACTTTGTAAAAACTTCTCATATGCTAACTTTTTCTCCCTTACTACTCTCTTTACATCATCATTCCACCAATCGCTCCTCTTCCCTCTTTCCCTTTATATAAAGGGATTATACATGCTCTCTGCCAATCCCTAGGTACCTTCCCCTCTTTCATACATTTATTAAACAAAAGTACCAACCACTCCAACACTATATCCCCCCCCCCCCCCTGCTTTTAACATTTCTGTCATGATCCCATCAGTTCCAGCTGCTTTACCCCCTTTCATTCTACGTAATGCCTCACATACCTCCACCACACTTACATTCTGCTCTTCTTCGCTCCTAAAAGATGGTATACCTCCCTGGCCAGTGCATGAAATTACTGCCTCCCTTTCTTCCTCAACATTTAAAAGTTCCTCAAAATATTCTCGCCATCTACCTAATACCTTCCTCTCCCCAACTACTAACTCCCCTACTCTGTTTTTAACTGACAAATCCATACTTTCCCTAGGCTTTCTTAACTTGTTTAACTCACTCCAAAATTTTTTCTTATTTTCATTAAAATTTCTTGACAGTGCCTCTCCCACTCTATCATCTGCTCTCCTTTTGCACTCTCTCACCACTCTCTTCACCTTTCTTTTACTCTCCATATACTCTGCTCTTCTTATAACACTTCTGCTTTGTAAAAACCTCTCATAAGCTACCTTTTTCTCTTTTATCACACCCTTTACTTCATCATTCCACCAATCATTCCTCTTTCCTCCTGCCCCCACCCTCCTATAACCACAAACTTCTGCCCCACATTCTAATACTGCATTTTTAAAACTATTCCAACCCTCTTCAACCCCCTCCACTACTCATCTTTGCACTAGCCCACCTTTCTGCCAATAGTCGCTTATATCTCACCCGAACTTCCTCCTCCCTTAGTTTATACACTTTCACCTCCCTCTTACTTGTTGTTGCCACCTTCCTCTTTTCCCATCTACCTCTTACTCTAACTGTAGCTACAACTAAATAATGATCCAATATATCAGTTGCCCCTCTATAAACATGTACATCCTGGAGCCTACCCATCAACCTTTTATCCACCAATACATAATCTAACAAACTACTTTCATTACGTGCTACATCATACCTTGTATATTTATTTATCCTCTTTTTCATGAAATATGTATTACTTATTACCAAATTTCTTTCTACACATAGCTCATTTAACCCTTTCAGGGTCCAAGGCCCAAATCTGGAGTCACGCACCAGTGTCCAAGAATTTTCAAAAAAAAAATTTGTTATTTTTTCTTATGAAATCGTAGAGAATCTTTTTGTGAAGGTAATAAAACAAAAAGTATGAAATTTGGTGGAAAATTGACGAAATTATGCTCTCGCGAATTTTGATGTGTCAGCGATATTTACGAATCGGCGATTTTGCCGACTTTGACTCCCATTTTAGGCCAATTACATTATTCCAATCAACCAAATTCTTAGCTATTTCACTAGTATTACTTCTATTCTATCGATTGAGCACAAGAAATCGCCAAGTCAACTGTTTCAACTACAAAATAAAATGATCGGAAATTGTTAATTTGGCCAATTTAACACAAAGTTCAAAATATTCCAATTTCAAAATAGGGTCCAGAATGAACAATGTAGGCATTTCTGGCACTAAACTAACATTTCCTCTGTTCATTAGTTATGTTTTGAGGCTTTACAAATAAATTCCATTTTGATTTTTTATTCACATAATGAATTTTTATTCACACCAAAAAATAGAAGATTTACTGTTATGCAATACTGTAATAATTGTATAAATATCATCAACATATTTGTGAATGTATATTAGACCCACCAGCTGACGTGTATTAGACGTGTGAGGTCGTTTGTTTACTCATGAATATCGGCAAAAATTTAACATTTCTGCTACTTTGAGCTCAGTTTCAAGCCATTTCCAGTGCTAAAACCAATCAAGATCATCTCTATTTCTGTAATATGTCTCCCATTCTATCAAATGAGACCAAGAAATCGCAAATACAACTATAAAAAACATACGAAAAAACACTGCAAAGTTGCTGTTTTAATCGAAAAATCATGATTTCATTTTTTTTCTCTCATTATACACAGTGTGCTGCAGGATTTGTTTTATGTGGTGCACACATACCACATAGATGTATTCTCTCATATCTAGGCCCAAATGTACCACTCACAGTTTATCAGAGTGAGCTGAGCTCATGGCGTAGATCTACGGTTTGGACCCTGAAAGTAAAGCCGTAGATGTACGGGACAGACCCTGAAAGGGTTAAAGGCTCTCCATTTACATTTACCCCTGGCACCCCAAATTTACGTACTACTCCCTCCATAACATAAATATATCTTTGTATTATACAAATTTTGATTCATTTATAATTAATATTCTACTGTACAACTATGAAATAATTACTATCCTGTAATAAAGTTGGTAGAATTACCGACAATATGTAAAGTAAAAGGACACAAGTGCAACTAATGTGACATTTATTGTGGCAACGTTTCGCTCTCCAGGAGCGTAATGGCTTGATAAAGCTCCTGGAGAGCGAAACGTTGCCACAATAAATGTCACATTAGTTGCACTTGTGTCCTTTTACTTTACAAATTACTATCCTACTGTACAACTATGATATACTCCTTAGTATTAACTAGACTGTAAGCCAATAATGTTAAGTTGGCCCATAATGCCTAGGCATAATAGAGGCTCTCTTTGCATTGCAACCCACTATTGTAAATACAAAATCTCAATGTACTGTTTGCAAAGACATAAAATAAATAAATAAATAAATAACAGTGGTACCTCAGGATACGAACTTAATTCATTGTAGAAGGCTGTTCGAGTGCTGATACCAAACGAATTTGTTCCCATAAGGAATAATGTAAATTAGATTAATCTGTTTCAGACCCTCAAAAATACTTACAAAAGGACTTACATAAATACACTTATATAATTGTTCAAGTTTTGAGCTGTTCGTATCCCGAGGAACCACTGTATCTGTATATTTTATGTACTATAAAATCTGTATAGTATATTCAATGTCTACTAATTTTTTTTAAACAACATTTGCTGTTTTTTTACTTACCTTATGTGGCATATCTGCAGTACATTGTGCCTCAGACTTGAGTGCCATCTGACCTTGACTGGTAGAACTGTTATCTGCAGTGTCACTTGAGGTATTCATTCCATCATTTACTTCCTCTTCCTCTGCTCCACCAACCTCTTCCTTTTCTGAGGAGTGACTGACATGGTCATAGTGAGCATCATGTTGTGAGAAGTCCTCCTGGTTTCTAATATCTTGGAAAGTTTCACTAGCATTTTCAGACACCGTGGAGATATTCTCTGCTTTTTTCCTCTTCTTAGGCTTTGGACTTGTCTTCATACTGGATGTGGTGTCGGTAGCCCGAGTCTCACTGCCATGCGATGGAGGTCCGTCTGGCACAGCCAACCCCTTAACTCTCAAGGCTTCAGCTGCTTTGATGAGACTAGTGAGGTCATTCTGAGACACACTTGCAACACCAGCATACATATAATTCAAGAGAGCTTCCACATCTGTGTGGGAAATATCCTGAAGAATAATGACAGGATGCCTGCAGGATGTATGTTGGAATATTTCTTCAAAATATTCACTGCATGCTGCTAGTACCAACTTGTGTGCAGGATAGAATTTACCTTCACATGCTACAGTCACATCAGAATAATTTTCCTGAAACAAAGAAAAATATGTAAAAAGAGAGTGATTTAAAGTTATCTTTTTTTTTTTATTATGAAGCTATCACCAGAAACTGCTACTATAAACCATGTCCTGTGTGTATGTATCTTCCTTATGATATTAAACTTATACAGCATTTTGAAGAATTTTCATGATATTTGCTTTCAAATAAAATAATTATATCTGTTAAAAACTTTTAAACTTGTAAAAGTCATTCAGTACTGCATGGTAGAGGTGAAAGAGGTGTTGTGCTAAGTATTTATCAAACAAAGACAAGACCAGTAATCCTAGCACATTACAAAATATTGAATACGCTACCATTTTACACCTTTATGACATGATGGTAGTGTTCAAAATGTTGTTGACAGCAAACATAATGTATTTTGCATGAGGAAGGATTTTTTTTTTATACCATTCATGTCCACTGCACAGACCTATTCTCTCATGTTTACGCCAATATTCACTGATCACAGTAGTGTAATTGAGGGCACTATGATTAAGACATAGAGCTATGTGAGAGACAGTGAGAGTTAATATATATTATTCTCACTCAATTTTAGGAGACTATTTAGTTCACACCATAAAAGGTATACTTTTATTTTTGGGGAGAGTGCTAAACTTGTAGGGGTTATACAGCACCCATGGAAGTGGGAGACAACCATGCATAATCCAAGAAAAGGGTACTCAGGTTCTATTATTTGAACCTAGAATCTCTCACCAGCATCAAGGAACCTTTCTTCAGGGGCATAAAATATATTGCTCTTTACTTAATGAGGAATTTAACTGACCAACAACAATATACCTTTTCTCGAAGAGTGGAGATAGCACTGGTGAACGTGGAACTGTGGTTCTTCCACGAAAGAACAAGCATTCTCTCCCCCATCTTGGTGCAACTATCTGAAAAATATACTATGTACAGTATATACATTCCCATAATGTTAAGAAATAAGACTCGAAATTAAATAGTTCCTGCAATGTGGAAATGAACCATGGACACTCAGTGAATGAGGCAAGTGCACTGCCAAACAAGCCATGGGACACTCTCTGGCCAATGTAAATAAAAACATACCAGGATTGATGGCAGAGTAAAGGTAGACTAGGCTAGGTGAGGTGTGTTAGGCTGTGTGTGTTAGGTTAGGTGGGTCTGGTTAGGTGGGTTTGGTTAGGTGGGTTAGGTTAAGTGGGCTAGGTTAGGTGGGTTAGGTTAAGTGGGCTAGGTTAGGTGGGTTAGGTTAAGTGGGCTAGGTTAATTGGGTTAGGTTAAGTGGGCTAGGTTAAGTTAAGTGAGCTAGGCTAGGTTAAGTGGGCTAGGTTAGGTGGGTTAGGTTAAGTGGGCTAGGTTAGGTTAAATGGGCTAGGTTAAGTGGGCTAGGTTAGGTGGGCTGGGTTAAGTGGGTTAGGTTAAGTGGGCTAGATTAGGTGGGTTTGGTTAGATTTGGTTACACGTTTCACCATTTGCACCATAAAACACTATCTCAAAACCAACTTAATATTTTAGAGATCAAACCATGATTAACACACAGACTGACCTGAGTAACAGTGGTAAACTACCACTGTTACTTGTACTCTAGGTTAACACTGAGCAGTTTGGTAGCACAGTACCTAGAGTACTAAAGTAGAGGACGCTAACTGCAGAATGTATATAAATGGTTCAGAGAACCGAACACAGGGCCCAGTGGCCTGGTGGCTAAAGCTCCCGCTTCACACACGGAGGGCCCGGGTTCGATTCCCGGCGGGTGGAAACATTTTGACACGTTTCCTTACACCTGTTGTCCTGTTCACCTAGCAGCAAATAGGTACCTGGGTGTTAGTCGACTGGTGTGGGTTGCATCCTGGGGGACAAGATTAAGGACCCCAATGGAAATAAGTTAGACAGTCCTCGATGACGCACTGACTTTCTTGGGTTATCCTGGGTGGCTAACCCCCCGGGGTTAAAAATCCGAACGAAATCTTATCTTATCACATGTGCAACACTTGGGTATCTTTAGTGTGGAAATGTTTTCCCACACAGTGACTTCATCAGTCAAATATAAAGAAAAATGGTGAAGATCAGAAGGAGTTTGAGATAATCAGTCCCTAAGACTGGTGTTGATGCAATCAGTCCATCAATCAAGATTGATGGACTGATTACATCAACTCCAGGCTGAGAGACTGACTACCTCAAACTCCTTCTGACCTTCATCAGTGTGAAGAAAGATAAAGATCAGAAGGTAATCAGTCCCTCAGCCTGGAGTTGATGTAATCAATCAATATTGGACTGATTACATCAACTCCAGGCTGCGGGACTGATTACCTCAAACACCTTCTGACCGTCACCATTCTTCTTCGTATAGGACTGATGAAGCCACTGTGTGGCGAAACGTTTCCACAATAAAGATACCCAAGCATTGCATACGTGTCTAATTTATCAATATCTGCAGAGTAGCCTGAGAGGAACTTCCTGGCTGGCCCTTAACACTGCCACTCTCCATCCAGTGCCTGGTAGTGCCACCTGTGAGGCAGTGATGCCCAGCCACAGTGCCTACACCTCCTCCCTAACCTTAGACGCACCTCACCAACGTCTTGTGACGCCACTAAAACGTTTCACTTTCACCAGAGTCTGCATGAAAGCAGCAGCAGCAGCAGCAGCAGCGAGAGAAAATATGTACGATACCTTTGTTTATGGTGATCCTGGTAGCCCAGCCTTCATACACCTCAGTTGACGTACGTCACCTGGGATGTCGTACGTCACCTGGGTTATCGTACGTCACCTGAGATGCCGTGCGTCACCTGAGTTGACGTACGTCACCTGGGATGTCGTGCGACATCTGGGTTGTCGTTCGCCACCTGGATTGTCGTTCGTCATCTGGGTTGTCATACATCACTTGGGTTGTCGTACATCACCTGAGTTGTCGTACGTCACCTGGGTCGCTGTGTGTCACCTGGGTTGAGAGTAAGACACATGTGCAACATCTGGGTATCTTTATTGTAGACGTTTCGCCATCCAGTGGCTTTATCAATACAAATTCTAGGACATAACTTGAAGACAGTAGAACTATGTACAGAAGATGAATCCTCTACCTTCCCTACAGTACTCAAAATAGCAAGGGTCACCCCGATCCACAAAGGAGGAGACCAAACAGAGTTGAATAACTATAGGCCAATATCCAACTTACACCCTCTCTCAAAAATATTCGAAAAATTAATTCATAAACGAATCTACTCCTACCTTATCTCCCAAAACATACTCAACCCCTGCCAATTTGGATTCAGGCCTAATAAAAATACTAATGATGCTATTATACACATGCTAGAACATATATACACTGCAATAGAGAAAAAAGAAGTCCCGCTGGGATCTTCATTGACTTACGTAAAGCTTTTGATACAGTTGACCATGACTTGCTCCACGTAAAATTGTCACACTATGGTATAAGAGGGCACTCCCTCAACTACCTCAAGTCATACCTCAGCAACGAAGCCAATATGTGTACGCAAATGGGCAAACTCTTCTGCGAAAACCCAATTACAGTTGGTGTCCCACAGGGAAGTTTTCCTTGGCCCTTTTTCTCTTTCTCCTATACATAAATGACCTTCCAAATGCTTCGCAATTACTCAAACCCACACTATTTGCAGTGACACTACATACGTTTCTCTCACCCGAGCCCCAGTCACAAGCAATACTGTAAATACCAAATTACAGAAAATATCTACCTGGATGAGGACTAACAAACTTACACTAAACATTGACAAAACCTACTTCATTCAGTTTGGTAACAGAGCTACAGATGTCCCTCTTAACATAATGATAAACGGATCACCTATCACAAGCTAACAGAGGGAAAATTCTTAGGAATCCACCTTGATATAGACTCAATTTCATAAAACATTCAACAAATTTCTAAGAAAATTTCCAAGACTGTAGGATACTATCGAAGATACGGTATTTATGTTCCACGGGTTAGCCCCCTGGCCCTATATCACTTTATTTCCCCCTATCTCACCTATGGATTTTTTGCATGGGGCTCAACAACAATTAAACCATCTCAGACCACTAATTACCAAAAAAAGGGGCTGCAGTTAGAATGATAACAAATTCTCACTACAGGCAGCACACTCCACCAATATTCAATCCCACTAAAACCTACTCACCATACAAAACATCATACTTTTACTGCACCTTTATTACATACTAAAAACACTTAACTCTGATATTAAACCCTCCCCTCAAACTCTCCTTGCCAACTCAACAGAACACATGACCATAACACAAGGCACAGATCACTCTTTGATGTTCCTCGTGTCCATCTCACACTATGCAAAAACTCAATGCACATAAAAGGCCCTAAAATCTGGAATTATTACCTGTAAATATAAAAGAAACACTACCTGTTTATAAATTCAAGTCTCTTCTCAAAGATCACTTACTCACCCAAACCCAAAATAAATATGAATAACTGAACCTTTTTAAATTGTATATTTTAAATGTTTCTCACAATTATATCACATAAATGTTAAACCTAAAACTGAATCTAACTTTATTATTTTTTAAATACACTACCTAACAGAATACTTCATATGACTGAATGCAACCATATGACCTGTCTTTGTAATACTCACTTGTGCTTTATGTAATCTGTTTACATTAATTTTTTTATCACTGATTTCATCATTGCTTAGTTAATCTTAAGTTAATTTTAAGCCCAGCCCGTAATGCTATGCATGTTAAGTGGCTTTGGCATGCTGCTTTTTATCTGTATTTTTTGTACCTCTGTATGTGTGCTCAAATTGGTAATAAATAAAAAATAAATAAAAAATAAATAAATAAATAAATAAATAATCAGCCCCTCAACCTAGGAGTAGGTGCGAACAGCCCCATGGTCGTGGAGATTCTGAAAGAATCTCCACGAAGCAGGAGATGCACAAATTAACATTAAGATTGACAACACGTAATTACCAGAAATAATGGGGGAAAATTCCTAGGCTTATACCTTGACAACAACCTGAATTTCAGCACCCATATCCAGCATATAGCCAAAAAAGTATCCAAACGGTTGGGATCCTCTCCAAGATACGATACTACGTGCCGCAAAATGCCCTTCTCACACTATACCACTCACTTATTTATCCATACCTCACCTATGGCTATTTGTGCTTGGGGATCAACTGCAGCAACACCTAAAGCCAATAATAACCCAACAAAAAGCTGCAGTAGAATAATCACTAAATCCCATCCCTGGCAGCACCCCCCCCACTCTTAAAAAGATCAAAAACTTACCCCAGTTCAGTTACATCCACATTACTACTGTGCAATCTATATCTCAGGGCCTTAAACTCAAATATCAACCTTGACCTAAAACGCTTTCTTGATAGTTGTGACAGAACCCACAGGCATAACACCAGAAAAAACATTCTACGACATTCCCCGTGTCCGACTAAACCTTTACAAAAATTCAATGTATGTCAAAGGCCCTAAAATTGGAATACCTACCTGGAACTCTAGAACTGCAGACACATTCATCACCTTCAAACTACCCTTAGAAAAATCTTATCTCCTGATACACCCCGTCAATAACTACACGAATACCAACCTGGTGGTTCACACTTACACTCGCTACTCATTTGCCATAAACAGAAATATTAATCTCAGTCTTAAAATAAAAGAATCCTGTGATACTCCAATACTGAAAAATATATACTGTGCCAAAACAAAAGCATTCACATTGCTAAAACTCACAAACTAGTATTTTGTCATTAGCCATAATACCAATTACCTCATAATTTGTAATATTTTACAATTAAGAATAAAAACTAAGTATGCCCGAAATGCCTAGCCATGCTAAGGTTCTAGTGGTACACTCTGTAATCACAATTTTACTACATGTAAACCAACAATAACCAAATTTCTGTAAAACTCAGCATTGTAAACCTTTTAGAGAATAAACTTTGAATTTGAATTGAATTTGAATTTGAATTTCAAGTTTGTCCCAGAAATTTTTATTGATAAAGCCACGGATGGCGAAACGTCTACAAAAAAGATACCCAGATGTTGCACATGTGTCTTACTTCATCTTGTCGGTATTATATACCATTCGTACACAAAAAGTGTCACCTGGGTTGCTGTGTAACCTGGGTTTGCTGGTGTCACCCGGGTTGCTGTGTCACCTGGGTTGCTGTGTCACCTGGGTTTTCTGTGTGTCACCCGGGTTGCTGTGTCACCTGGGTTGCTGTGTGTCACCTGGGTTGCTGTGTCACCTGGGTTGCTGTGTCACCTGGGTTGCTCTGTCACTGGGTTGCTGTGTGGTCACCTGGGTTGCTGTGTCACCTGGGTTGCTGTGTCACCTGGGTTGCTGTGTGTCACCTGGGTTTTCTGTGTCACCTGGGTTGCTGTGTGTCACCTGGGTTGCTGTGTCACCTGGGTTGCTGGGGGTCACCTGGGTTTCTGTGTCACCTGGGTTGCTGTGTGGGCACCTGGTTGCTGTGTCACCTGGGTTGCTGTGTCACCTGGGTTGCTGTGTGTCACCTGGGTTGCTGTGTCACCTGGGTTGCTGTGTCACCCGGGTTGCTGTGTGTCACCCGGGTTGCTGTGTCACCCGGGTTGCTGGTGGTCACTGGGTTGCTGTGTGTCACCTGGGTTGTCGTACGTCACCTGGGTTGTCGAAAGTCACCTGGGTTTTCACCCAAAGGGCGAGCAAACGTAGCTTAGCGAAATACACATACACGCAGGGATGTGAGGAAACGGGGGTTTAAAGACTATAAAGAATAAAAGAGTAAAGATTTTTATTTTCTTTATACAATGAGTAATTACAATTTTGGTTTGCTAAGCACAAATAAAGCCACTATCATGCTGGGGCATTTTGAGCAGACTATCGACTACAAGGGATCATTAGACTATAAAATGTTCGTAACTTCACCTAACAATCAACATTCAATTTTCCTCTATAGTCTGGAAGCAAGAACTTAACAAAATTGCAATATCATTGTATTATAAAAATTCAAAATCACCTCCCCCACGACCGGTTGCAACCAAGGCAAGAAAAACCACAGGGTCATGCCACAGGAGCCAAGTATAAAAATAATAATAATAATAATATAATAATAATAATAATAATAATAAAAAATAATAATTTTTAATAATAATAAATAATAAATTTTTTATTTCTACAAGTACTTGTACAAGGTATACAGGCCTAGCTGACATCAAGACATACTTTACATAGAAAGCCGTTGATATGCAGAACATTTCGGGCAAATTAGATCAATTTTGTCACCAGGGGTGCGACCCAAAACCCCGTCGACTACACCCAGGTACTCATTTTACTGATAAGTGAACATGGACAACAAGGGTCTTATGGAAACACTCCTAATGTTTTCCAGCCGTACCGGGGATCTAACCGGGGGCCTGTGTGTGAGCTGAGTGCGCTACCATGAGTTTTCGGGACATCTGTCTTACAGACACACTGCCACTTGACAGCTTTTACCACCTGAGGTGCCCTGACCTGTGGATTAAATTGTCCTGATTTTAGATACCTCTGCATGTCATCATTGGTCTGACATTCCTTATACCCATAAGGAACATTATTATTATGATCTAACTAAGAGCTAAACTCTTAAGGGTCTTATAAAGAACAAAAAAAGGGCACAATACTGTGAATATACACAAATAACGA